GCCGCGGTGGAGAGTGCCAAGTGGCCGTGCATTTCTTTGCTTCGCCAAAAGGCAGTGACCAGGCCCTGCATTTCACATGTAGAAAAGAGATGTGTGGGGGGCTCAGAGTCTTTTGAGCATGTCGGGTCCTCTGCCAAAGTGTTTCACGGAGCAGCGCCGACGTGTGCGAGCTGTAAAACTACGGACGTAACGGACAGTACATGGTCATTTACGCTGGCCCACTGAGTGAGAACGCCTGCATGGTGCCGGCACAGCCGGCACCAGCAACTTGGACAGGTCACGCCGCGTTTTGCCTCCACGTTTGCACGCATCCTTTGGTCCAGCCAAAGATGTCCTGGCCTCTACCACCTCTTTCATTCCGCCTGTGTCCTCAGCCTGCCACCCCCCGTTGCCAATTCTCGTCCCATTACCCGACCCGAGGCATATCACGATGTGTCAGGAGGGCGCAACGGTGTCTCACGCTGTGCTGCAGCCTGAGCTATATGCCTTTTGGCGAACGTCTAGAGTCACACAGGGGAGGAACTTTCTGAGAGTGTAAATGAACAGAGAAATCGACAGGAGGAGGCTGTCTCAGCTGGCGCAAACTACTGAAAATCGTGAACCATGTTAGACCGACCTGAGACAACGGAAAGAAAGAACATTGTGACGGCTCTGCATGCTTCTGTCAAGGAAGGCTGTGTGCCATGGCGCCATGCATGGCTCACAGTGTTCAATCTGGTTGTCAAGCGTTCCTAACCGAATCTCACCATCCCACTGCAAGACATCCTTAAAATGTCACGTAAACTGTTGCATGGCATTTCAGCCATTCCACACACCGCAAAGCACTACACCCTCCTTGAGAGCTGCAGCAGCTGAACAGAAACGGAATTCCACAGCATCGCCTGATGCTGCGACGTTGCAACAAGGATGGAATTCAACCCTACATATGTTTAGACCCGCCTTTACAACAGAGCGAAAGGCCATCACCGAATTTCCTATGTTACATCAGCGGTAATAACAGGTACTCCCCTGTGTAACTTAGTGATTGTTCAGCCCAGCTTGCGGCAGCCCTCAATGCGGACGCACCTGCCGCTTGCTCAGGCCCTTGTGAGGAGGCCACGCTATTCGTTGAGTCGGCAGGCCCGCTGTACTATGGGATGAACGAGACGTCATTCCTCTTGGTTGCACGTCCTGGAACAAATGCTGTTAACAATAGGCTGGGTCAGGGTGGGGGTAGACGTGGCTTGCACATGATCACATCAACGCACAGACCCCTTGCTGGGGGGCAGGACACTCGGAAGAAGAGGAGTGAGGTAGAGGAGTGACTCGTTGGTCTCAGGTGAATTATTGAGTGAAATGGGTGGCGTATTTTCCACTCAGCCGCTGACAGGAGTTGGAGGAGCAAGGAGCATCTGGTAGAGCAAGGAGAGGAGGAGACAGAGGGATGACCCAGACTGGACACCGTGGCATGTATGCTGATTTGCGTGAGTATGAGGCAGGGAGTCCCTCGACAATTCCTTGGCTCACCAAAAGGCCCATAGCAAAGCTCGTTGAATGTTACGTTTCTGCAATCTACAGCCGAATACAAATAACCATCAACAGATGGATGACATTTTGTGCAGTGTCCAACCTATGTTCGGCTGACCCTCGCTACCATACAAAAAAGGTTGATCCTTTTTCACGACCTTCATGAGAGGGTGAGTGGCCAAAATAAAGTACTATAAAAACCACCTAAGTAGTCATGCCGCATTATAGCCCTATCGGCCTACTTTCTAGGCAATCCAGTTGCTGTGTAGCCCCCACCCACCACCACACTTGTGCCACGGCCCCCCCCCCCTGTACCGCCTTCTTCATACTGCTGCCAGATCCATCCTCTGCCATGTTGCGTCCTTTGACCGTCGACCTGTGCGTTCACGAGCTGCTGGTTTCCAGTATCTTAAACCTAGGCCTGTGTATTGGGCTATCCGTATATACTGCGTGCTGCAGTCCACCGTGCCACCGCGGGGCCGCTGCGCCATCTGTGCCTCGTCGTCTGCTCACGGTGGGCTGACGGCTTCCGCTTTTTTAACCGAGGCCTGTGTTTGGCTTCCGAATACTGCTGCAGTCCACCGCCACCCTGGCGCCATGGTGATCTCTAGTCGTCCCTGCTACACGCTGCTGACGCTGGCTTCCGCTTTTTAACCTAGTGCCTAGTGTTTGGCTTCCGAAACATAAGCTGGGCTGCATTCCACCAGCCACCGCTGCCATGTGTCCTCTATCTGTCTGCTGCACTCTGCTGTAACGAGCCCCCCCCCTGTGTCTTGGCTTTTAGTAACCTAGATGTCTCTATCGTGTCATGGCTTCCGCTTTTTAAATACTGCTGCCTCCACCGCCACCCTGTGCCAATGTGCCACTTTCAGTCTCCATTACACTGTTGGTAGGGTTCCATTTTTGTGATAGGCTGTGCTGTATGGCCTTCCGTTTGCTGCTGCCTATCCCACCGCCTACCCTGCGCCATGTGTCTCTCTGTCGTCTGCTCACACTGCTGACGACGCGGGCTGTCCGCTTTTTAACCGAGCCTGTGTTTTGGCTTCCGAATACTGCTGCCAGGTCCACCGCCACCCTGCGCCATGTGTCTCTGTCGTCTGCTCACGTGCTGCTGACGGCTTCCGCTTTTTAACCTAGGCCTGTGTATGGCTTCCGAATACTGGCCCTCCACCGCCACCCTGCGCCATGTGCCACTTTTCTGGTCTCCTTACACCTGTTGGTGGGTTCCATTTTTGTGATAGGGTGCTGTATGGCTTCCAATTGCTGCTGCCTCCACCGCCACCCTGCGCCATGTGCCTCTGTTCGTCTGCTCCACATGCTGCTGACGGCTTCCGCTTTTTTTAAAACCGAGGCCTGCTGTATGGCTTCCGAATACTGCTTGCCTGCATCCACGCCACCCGCGCGCCATGTGCTGTCTCTGTCCGTCTGCTCACGCTGCTGACGGCATTTCCGCTTTTTTTAACCGAGGCCTGTGTTTTGGCTTCCGAATACTGCTGCATACCACCACCGCCACCACTGCGCCATGTGTCTCTGTCGTCTGCTCACACGCTGCTGACGGCTTTCCGCTTTTTAACCTAGGCCTGTTGTATGGCTTCCGAATACTGCTGCCTCCTCCACCGCCACCCTGCGCCATGTGGCCCCTCTGTCGTCTGCTCACGCTGCTGACGGGCTTCCCGCTTTTTAACCTAGGGCCTGTGTATTGGCTTCCGAATACTGCTGCTCCACCGCCACCCAGCTTGGTCGTCCAGATGTGTTCTGGCGCCATGTGCCATGGCCACTTTCAGGTCTCCTTACACTGCTTTGTGGTTCCATGCGCCATGGGTGCTTTGTGAGATACTGAGGGTGCTGTGTAGGCCTTCCATAACTGCTGCCTCCACCGCCACCCTGCGCCATGTGCCTCTGTCGTCTGCTCACGCTGCTGACACGGCTTCCGCTTTTTAACCGAGGCCTGTGTTTTGGCTTCCGAATACTGCTGCATCCACCGCCACCCTGCGCCATGTGTCTCTGTCGTCTGCTCACGCTGCTGACGGCTTCCCGCTTTTTAACCTAGGCCTGTGTTATGGCTTCCGAATACTGCTGCCTCCACCGCCACCCTCTTGCCCATGTGCCACTTTCAGGTCTCCTTACACTGTTGGTGGATGTTCCATTTTGTGATTAAACTAGTAATGCTGTATGGCCTTCCATTGTATGCTACTGCTGCCTCCACCGCCACCCTGCGCCATGTGCCTCTGTCTCTGTCGTCTGCTCACGCTGCTGACGGCTTCCGCTTTTTAACCTAGGCCTGTGTTTGGCTTCCGTAAATACTGCTGCATCCACCGCCACCCTGCGCCATGTGTCTCTGTCGTCTGCTCACAGCTGCTGACGGCTTCCGCTTTTTAACCTAGGCCTGTGTATGGCTTCCGAATACTGCTGCCTCCACCGCCACCCTGCGCCATGTGCCTCTGTCGTCTGCTCACAGCTGCTGACGGCTTCCGCTTTTTAACCGAGGCCTGTGTTTGGCTTCCGAATACTGCTGCCATCCACCGCCACCCTGCGCCAATGTGTTCTCTGTCGTCTGCTCTCGCTGCCTCTGACGGCTTCCGCTTTTTTAACCGAGGCCTGTGTTTGGCTTCCGAATACTGCTGCCATCCACCGCCACCCTGCGCCATGTGTCTCTGTCGTCTGCTCACGCTGCTGAACGGCTTCCGCTTTTTAACCTAGGCCTGTGTATGGCTTCCGAATACTGCTGCCTCCACCGCCACCCTGCGCCATGTGCCACTTTCAGGTCTCCTTACACTGTTGGTGGGTTCCATTTTGTGATAGGGTGTTGCTGTATGGCCTTCCATTGCTGCTGCCTCCACCGCCACCCTGCGCCATGTGCCTCTGTCGTCTGCTCACGCTGCTGACGGCTTCCGCTTTTTAACCGAGGCCTGTGTATTGGCTTCCGAATACTGCTGCATCCACCGCCACCCTGCGCCATGTGTCTCTGTCGTCTGCTCACTGATCCCGCTGCTGACGGCTTCCGCTTTTTAACCGAGGCCTGTGTTTGGCTTCCGAATACTGCTGCATCCACCGCCACCCTGCGCCATGTGTCTCTGTCGTCTGCTCACGCTGCTGACGGCTTCCGCTTTTTTAACTGAGGCCTGTGTTTGGCTTCCGAATACTGCTGCATCCACCGCCACCCACCTGCGCCATGTGTCTCTGTCGTCTGCTCACACTGTCGCTGCTGACGGCTTCCGCTTTTTAACCTAGGCCTGTGTATGGCTTCCGAATACTGCTGCCTCCACCCGCCACCCTGCGCCATGTGCCACTTTCAGGTCTCCTTACACTGTTGGTGGGTTCCATTTTGTGATAGTGTGCTGTATGGCCTTCCATTGCTGCTGCCTCCACCGCCACCCCTGCGCCATGTGCCTCTGTCGTCTGCTCACACGCTGCTGACGGCTTCCGCTTTTTAAACCGAGGCCTGTGTTTGGCTTCCGAATACTGCTGCATCCACCGCCACCCTGCGCCATGTGTCTCTGTCGTCCTGCTCACGCTGCTGACGGCTTCCGCTTTTTTAACCGAGGCCTGTGTTTGGCTTCCGAATACTGCTGCATCCACCGCCACCCATCCTGCGCCATGTGCCTCTCTGTCGTCTGCTCACGCTGCTGCTGACGGCTTCCGCTTTTTAACCTAGGCCTGTGTATGGCTTCCGAATACTGCTGCCTCCACCGCCACCCTGCGCCATGTGCCACTTTCAGGTCTCCTTACACTGTTGGTGGGTTCCATTTTTGTGACCGAGGTGCTGTATGGCCTTCCATTGCTGCTGCCTCCACCGCCACCCTGCGCCATGTGCCTCTCTGTCGTCTGCTCACGCTGCTGACGGCTTCCGCTTTTTAACCGAGGCCTGTGTTTGGCTTCCGAATACTGCTGCATCCACCACACTGCGCTTTCACCTTACTGCGCCAGGGTGCTGTGGCCTTCCAATGCTGCTGCTGCATCCACCGCCACCCTGCGCCATGTCGTCTGTCTGCTCACGCTGCTGACGGCTTCCGCTCTTTTTAACCTAGGCCTGTGTATGGCTTCCGAATACTGCTGCCTCCACCGCCACCCTGCGCCATGTGCCTCTGTCGTCTGCACACGCTGCTGACGGCTTCCGCTTTTTTTATCCGAGGCCTGTGTTTGGCTTCCGAATACTGCTGCATCCACCGCCCACCCCTGCGCCATGTGTCTCTGTCGTCTGCTCACGCTGCTGACGGCTTCCGCTTTTTAACCTAGGCCTGTGTATGGCTTCCGAATACTGCTGCCTCCACCGCCACCCTGCGCCATGTGCCACTTTCAGGTCTCCTTACACTGTTGGTGGGTTCCATTTTGTGATAGGGTGCTGTATGGCCTTCCATTGCTTCTGCCTCCACCGCCACCCCTGCGCCATGTGTCCTCTGTCGTCTGCTCACGCTGCTGACGGCTTCCGCTTTTTAACCTAGGCCTGTGTATGGCTTCCGAATAATACTGCTGCCTTCCACCGCCACCCCTGCGCCATGTGCCACTTTCAGGTCTCCTTACACTGTTGGTGGGTTCCATTTTGTGATAGGGTGCTGTATGGCCTTCCATTGCTGCTGCCTCCACCGCCACCCTGCGCCATGTGCCTCTGTCGTCTGCTCACGCTGCTGACGGCTTCCGCTTTTTAACCAAGGCCTGTGTTTGGCTTCCGAATACTGCTGCATCCATCCACCGCCACCCTGCGCCATGTGTCTCTGTCGTCGTCTTGCTCACGCTGCTGACGGCTTCCGCTCTTTAACCTAGGCCTGTGTATGGCTTCCCGAATACTGAGCTGCCTCCACCGCCACCCTGCGCCATGTGCCTCTGTCGTCTGCTCACGCTGCTGACGGCTTCCGCTTTTTATCCGAGGCCTGTGTTTGGCTTCCGAATACTGCTGCATCCACCGCCACCCTGCGCCATGTGTCTCTGTCTGTCTGCTCACGCTGCTGACGGCTTCCGCTTTTTAACCTAGGCCTGTGTATGGCTTCCGAATACTGCTGCCTCCACCGCCACCCTGCGCCATGTGCCACTTTCAGGTCTCCTTACACTGTTGGTGGGTTCCGCTTTTTGTGATAGGGTGCTGTATGGCCTTCCATTGCTGCTGCCTCCACCGCCCACCCTGCGCCATGTGTCTCTGTCGTCTGCTCACGCTGCTGACGGCTTCCGCTTTTTAACCTAGGCCTGTGTATGGCTTCCGAATACTGCTGCCTCCACCGCCACCCTGCGCCATGTGCCACTTTCAGGTCTCCTTACACTGTTGGTGGGTTCCATTTTGTGATAGGGTGCCTGTGTATGGCCTTCCATTGCTGCTGCCTCCACCGCCACCCTGCGCCATGTGCCTCTGTCGTCTGCTCACGCTGCTGACGGCTTCCGCTTTTTAACCGAGGCCTGTGTTTGGCTTCCGAATACTGCTGCATCCACCGCCACCCTGCGCCATGTGTCTCTGTCGTCTGCTCACGCTGCTGACGGCTTCCGCTTTTTAACCTAGGCCTGTGTATGGCTTCCGAATACTGCTGCCTCCACCGCCACCCCTGCGCCATGTGCCTCTGTCGTCTGCTCACGCTGCTGACGACTTCCGCTTTTTAAACTAGTCCTGTGTATGTTCTTCCGAATATTGCTGCCTCCACCGCCACCCTGCTGCGCCATGTGCCACTTTCAGGTCTCCTAACACTGTTGGTGGGTTCCATTTTGTGATAGGGTGCTGTATGGCCTTCCATTGCTGCTGCCTCCACCGCCACCCTGCGCCATGTGCCTCTGTCGTCTGCTCACGCTGCTGACGGCTTCCGCTTTTTAACCGAGGCCTGTGTTTGGCTTCCGAATACTGCTGCATCCACCGCCACCCTGCGCCATGTGTCTCTGTCGTCTGCTCACGCTGCTGACGTCTTCCGCTTTTTTAACCTAGGCCTGTGTATGGCCTTCAATTGAAGCTGCTTCTGCTCCCGCCACTCTGCCATTGGACTCTTGATAGTCGTCTCCCCACGCTGCTGCTGGGGGGACTTTTTAACATAGGCCTCTGTATGGCCTTCAATTTTAGCTGCTTACGCTCCGCCACTCTGCCATGGGCCCCTGTACCGCCTCCTCATGCTGCTGCCAGGCCCGTAATCTGCCATGGGCCCCCGTACCGACTCCTCATGCTGCTGCCAGGCCCGTAATCTGTCATGGGCCCCTGTACCGCCTCCTCATGCTGCTGCCAGGTCCAGAGTGTGTCATGGGTCCCTGTACAGCCTCCCATTGCTGCTGTCTCCATCGCCACACTCTGCCATGTGCCACTTTCAGGTCTCCTCACACTGCTGGTGGGTTCCATTTTGTCATAGGGTGCTGTATGGCCTCCCATTGCTGCTGCCTCCACCGCCACACTGTGGCTCCACACTCTGGTTTTGGCCCCGTGACTGCCCAAATGAGTGAAGTGTGCGGTGATTCTAAAGATCGACGGCACTCATCTGCATGTCATACTGACTGACAGTATTATATTTCTCTTCCCCAGCAGACTCCAAGGGCATTTAAATTAAAGGTACAGTGTTCTGCACTAATATAAAGGCTCTCTGAAGCCTAGAAACACCCTTTTTATAAGTTAAATTTGCAGCGAATATATTCGGCTCGAAGCGAATTTTTTCCGCGAATTCGGCGAATCAGCCGAACCGAAATTTTTGAATAATTTGCTCATCTCTACTACTGAGTTCTTTATTTTTTTGCTAAATAAACAAAAAAAACCCTGAAGCTTTTGAAAAAAAAACACGCTTTTCTTCGTTTCTGTTAAAAATTTTTACAAATAAATAAAATTTCTTCATAAATTTAGGCTTAAATGTATTCTGCTACATTTCTTTGGTAACACCCCCCCTTCCTAAATTTGTGTATATTATTTAGTCTGTAGGAAAGTTATAGAGTCCACAAAGCATGGTATATATATATATATATATATATATATATATATATCTGACAATCGATCAACCCTGATGTACTGACGGCCCATCTTGTTTCTTGAGGCCTGAAAGCGCCAGGATAGTACAAGTACCCCCCAAATTACCAATTTTTGGAAAATAAATAGTCCAAGGTATTTAGTAAGAGGTATGGTGAGTTTTTTGGAGGTTGTAAATTTTTGTTACAATTTTTTGGAAAATGTAGAAGTTTAAAAAAAAAAAATCACAATTTTTTCAGTCCAGTACAGCGTTATTATATAACTGGTTTGGCGGTGATCAGGGACACTGACTGGTGACAGTATGTAAAAACAAATAAAAATAATAGTAATAATTATTTTTTTTTTTTCAAATGTTTCTTTTATTTTTTTATTACTTTTTTTTTACTACTTTTTTTTTTCAAGACACTGTAACCAAAGCAATACAATGCTACCATAGTAACATTGAACTACTACCGTGGACACAGCCGGTGACAGATCGCGCCACTGCATGGCCCCCGCGGCCACGTGAGTGGCTCCTTCTGACAGGGCGTCATATGACGCTCAGTCAGAAGGAGGAGTGTCTTGCCCGGCCGCGCGCACGAAGATGTTAATTACACAGGTTTTGAAGCTAACTTATTGTAGATAAGGCATCAAGCGAGTTTAATTACTACCTTAATCAGCCACAGAACCTGTGTAATTAAAATGTGTTCGGTTTTGCAGGGCTTAGGTGGCAACCCTAGGCACTATGTTTCACCTCGCATGCTTTCATATGTAGAAAACTAAGGTGGATACCTGTTCAGGTTTTTCAGGCCACCTTGACTGTGTTGGTTCAGAACCAGATTTTCCTTTCCATTTGTGACCACCAGCTGGTGGTATTAATAAAGCTATATTGGAGCAAGAAGTTGCTCTTGGCCTGGGGACTCAGGAAGCTATACCTGAGAGAGAACTGTGAATGTGAAAGTTTTCTTTGTTCAAGAAAGGAAAAGGTTTGCATAACGTTTTGGTTTTGTTTTGTTGGTGACTGGGAGAAGCCCTTCACCTGTGAGATAGGAATCTCTGCTGTTTAGTTAGTGCCTGGATGGCAAGGATTTATTTTCTGTTCTGTTTTGTTTATTTTCCATGCAACCTTTTAAATAAAACTGTCTACAAGTCAGAATTTTAAGAAAGACTTGCAGTCTGGACTGCCTTTTTCCCAGGGAAGGTGATCCCTATCTGACCTAGCCCCCACAAGTCTTACAGCTTTTTAAGGTTGACCCTTTACACCAATTAATCATATTTTTGGCACAGGATTTGTCACAGAGTTATTCTCCAAAGAAATCTGTGGAGAAAAGTGGAGTATGAGGCACTGTCTGGTGTGTGCTCTCCCCGCCATGCTTTGCCTTGGGAAGATTAACTTTAGACAGAGTGGGACTGTCTTGAACTGGATGAAGAGCTTGCACATGATTCTTACTGTCACATTTTATGTATTTAATAGTGGCCCTATAGTCTTTAGCATGGTGTTTTGTGGAAACACAGCATTTGCAGTAAACCCCAAATTTCATTAAAAGCTCTTTGCGTTCTTGCAAGGGTTTCTTTCTGAAGCAAATATACAGTCAGGTCCATAAATATTGGACATCGACACAATTCTAACATTTCTGGCTCTATACCACCACCACAATGGATTTGAAATTAAACGAACAAGATGTGCTTTAACTGCAGACTGTCAGCTTTAATTTGAGGGTATTTACATCCAAATCAGGTGAACGGTGTAGGAATTACAACAGTTTGCATATGTGTGCCTCCCACTTGATAAGGGACCAAAAGTAATGGGACAGAATAATAATCATAAATCAAACTTTCACTTTTTAATACTTGGTTGCAAATCCTTTGCAGTCAATTACAGCCTGAAGTCTGGAACTCATAGACATCACCAGACGCTGGGTTTCATCCCTTGTGATGCTCTGCCAGGCCTCTACTGCAACTGTCTTCAGTTCTGCTTGTTCTTGGGGCATTTTCCCTTCAGTTTTGTCTTCAGCAAGTGAAATGCATGCTCAATCGGATTCAGGTCAGGTGACTGACTTGGCCATTGCCAACATTCCATTTCTTTCCCTTAAAAAACTCTTTGGTTGCTTTTGCAGTATGCTTTGGGTCATTGTCCATCTGCACTGTGAAGCGGGCGTCCAATGAGTTGTGAAGCATTTGGCTGAATATGAGCAGATAATATTGCCCGAAAACACTTCAGAATTCATCCGGCTGCTTCTGTCAGCAGTCACATCATCAATAAATACAAGAGAACCAGTTCCATTGGCAGCCATACATGCCCACGCCATGACACTACCACCACCATGCTTCACTGATGAGATGGTATGCTTAGGATCATGAGCAGTTCCTTTCCTTCTCCATACTCTTCTCTTCCCATCACTCTGGTACAAGTTGATCTCGGTCTCATCTGTCCATAGGATGTTGTTCCAGAACTGTGAAGGGCTTTTTTAGATGTCGTTTGGCAAACTCTAATCTGGCCTTCCTGTTTTTGAGGCTCACCAATGGTTTACATCTTGTGGTGAACCCTCTGTATTCACTCTGGTGAAGTCTTCTCTTGATTGTTGACTTTGACACACATACACCTACCTCCTGGAGAGTGTTCTTGATCTGGCCAACTGTTGTGTGAAGGGTGTTTTCTTCAGCAGGGAAAGAATTCTTCGGTCATCCACCACAGTTGTTTTCCGCCGTCTTCTCCGGGTCTTTTGGTGTTGCTGAGCTCACCGGTGCGTTCCTTCTTTTTAAGAATGTTCCAAACAGTTGTTTTGGCCACGCCTAATGTTTTTTCTATCTCTCTGATGGGTTTGTTTTTGTTTTTTCAGCCTAATGATGGCTTGCTTCACTGATAGTGACAGCTCTTTGGATCTCATCTTGAGAGTTCACAGCAACAGATTCCAAAAATGCAAATGACACACTTGAAATGAACTCTGGACCTTTTATCTGCTCATTGTAATTGGGATAATGAGGGAATAACACGCACCTGGCCATGGACCAGCTGGGAAGCCAATTGTCCCATTACTTTTGGTCCCTTAACAAGTGGGAGGCACATATGCAAACTGTTGTATTTCCTACATCGTTCACATGATTTGGATGTAAATACCCTCAAATTAAAGCTGAGTCTGCAGTTAAAGCACATCTTGTTCGTTTCATTTCAAATCCATTGTGGTGGTGTATAGAGCCAAAAATGTTAGAATTGTGTCGATGTCCCAATATTTATGGACCTGACTGTACTTCCTAAGTGGGTGTGGTTTGTTTATATATGGGACACTGGTGATTTGGATTCTCGCTTTTCTTGTTCTGATCAGTCTGTGCAGAAACTGGAGTAGGCTCAGGTAGAATATCAGTCCTTTTCACAGACACTTGACTTCTTCGGTCTGTATGTGGAATGCACGAGTTTGCAGGCCTTTGAAAAGGTGGACTGAGAGCGTTGGGCTCCCGAAGGAAAAATTTGCATCATTCTTAGTATCTGCAATTCTCCTAATGAACACACCGAAGTAGAAAAAGGGAGGAAAGGAAACTTTGTTTTCTTCCTTGTACCTTTATCCAAGCGATGCCCATTTTTCCTGTATAACATAAGGCAATTTGGAGACTATCGGTATCTAGGTAACAGACCAGGTAGGTGGGTATCAGCCTTGGTGAGTTGAACTGAACTCTTCAAAATGTAGAATGTCTCTTCCAGATGTTTTTGGAAAGGTTTGAACCTTTTAAACCCAGCATCCTCAATGGCATCTAGGCTGCCAAAGCTACTCTCGAGTCTGTCCCAAGCAGTGTCAAGACCTTCAACAGGGTTGTCAGTGTAAACATCTTTGAATCTTTTATTTTCCAATAGTTTTTATTGAAAGTTTTTAAGTTACAAATAAAGCAAAAAGCAGATGTCATGTTATATCAAAAGATGTAAAATAGTACAAAAGAGTTACTGGCTTAACAAACCATAGACAAATTATAGGAAGCTAGAGAATCTATGCGAAGACAACTAAAAAAGTCAAACAAAAATTCCCAGCATCAAGTCCACCAGGGATAAAGAGATCAGTGGTCATAGCCACAAAAATCACCCAAAATGAGCATAATGAAAAATATGACAAATGATACAGAGCAAATAAAAAGTAGGCTCAACTAGCCTAGAGAACGAAGAAATAAAAGGGGACAGTGAAAAGTAAGAAAAGAAGGTACATGAGGGCAAGGAAAGAAGCAGGTCAAATCGGGAAATATCAAGGCATGGACAAGTATTGAATACATGGA